TACTTTGCTCCAAGGGTTAAAAATATGCATTTCGTTTTGATCCAATTAAAGTCTCGATCCTATACGTGTTGATGCTTTTAAAATTTGCTTTGATGATTTGTCATACAGGTTACAGCTTTAAGGTTAATTATTCGTTATCATCATTATCATCGTTAAAACAACCACCTCAAATTGTTTACAAGGAAATTCAATGCCGTCGAGGTAAAGTGTATTGTGGACTGGAAATTTCACCAGTGCGAAAATGTGGTGTCTTTAAGTATGCTTAAATATATTATTTCAAAGTTATTGTTCCAAAGCATGCAGGGAAGATTGCCAGTCCTAACCCAGAAAAGAAAACCCACAAGAAAAATGTTGGACAACAAAACAAACAGAGGAAACAGGAAACGCAGATACGAAGTCTTAATTTTAAATTCTTGGATCAAAAATGATATTTTCTTAGAATCACAGAGAGTCGTGTCAGAGTGATGTAAGTCGGGAGGACACCGTTCAGTCTGTATAATGTTCTTGTGTGAAATTGTTAACGAGAAATTTGCTCTTTCAAAACATTTCTGAAAAAAAGTTGCTCTAAACACGAAATTGCCAAAGGCAAAGGAAACCTTCGATTGCCAAGCATCGAATATCTAATATTTTTTATTTACAAATGAATGCAACATTAAAGTTCGGTGCCTCAGATTGCATCAGTGTTTTGCTTAAGAATATTTAAATTCATATTAGCTTCAAAACCAAATAAATACATGTAAACAATATTGCTATTGCTATCAATGTTTGTTGAAACACCAAGGTGCAATTTCAAGGACTTTAATAAATTATTTGCATACCTCATGGTCCTTTAAAAAATTCCAAACAAACGTAAAATGGCCATCCTGGTACAAAGAGCGTAGAAAAGTGTCATGTCCCAGTCGAATGATTCCTGCCGACAAAATCTAGCCCTTTCGAGCGACACACCCAAGCATAGAGTAGGTCCTATGGGCTATTCGTCCGTTAAGTCGGCGAATAGGTGCTACTCTCAGAGTAGAAAAAATTAAGGAAAAGGGAAAGGGGAAGAAGAAAGGCAGGCACGGGGAGAGAGGGAAAGGGAAGCGTGGTCCATCGGAGAATTCCAATGGACGGTCGTCGGAGTTTATGGCTACACGCCCGTGTTAAATCATATCGAAATAATTATGCGTATCATTCTGGAGTTCAATATCAACAAATGACTGCTAAAGCTCCTCAGTCATTGATTTTCGTGCGAATTTAGATAGCTGAATGCAGCCGAGATCTTCTTTCAGACACCTATGAATAATTTTCAATTTAGTTCTAGAGTGCCAATTCTAAATCCCTGTTGAATAAAAGAAAATCAAGAGAATCGTGAAACAGGACGATCTATTCAAAAGTTTGCGCCTCGGTTGCATTTATCAATGAAAATGATTTTTTAACATGTTTGGTCGCAGGAAAAGAACATCTTGTCGACTGGATTCACGAGCAATTACCCAAGTGTCTTTTGAAAAGAAAGATACAATTGCCAAACCCAGTATGTTTCTGCACAATGTTTATAGACAGTCTACAAAATAGAACGAATCAGAGTAACAGTTTTCAACCACATGCATATCTTACAGTTATTTTTATTATTATTTTTTGTAAGAGGTATAGCAAAAGAGCCCAATAATTTCAATACAAGATTTGCAGATTGTTTATATATATATTACAAATTATAGTTCTTGAATTTGTTTTGAGCATAATTGTGCTAATAAACACTCACCTTGTAAATTCTTGCTCGAAATCTGCGCTTTCAGGATGCTGTCTGGAACTGGAGATGAGCAGTAGTCGTTCTGAGGGGCACAGCGGCCGCTCACGCCTTTAAACTGGCAAGCCATTTCCGGAGCAGTGACTGGTAAGCTTGGCCTCGTTGTTGGTTGGACCCCAGCAGCTGTCACTCAAACACATCACCGACTCACATCTGATGAGCGGAAGTTCTGTTAAAGTTATTTCTACTCCATTTGTACTTGTATCAGCGACACAATCAATTGACCAAGTCTAACTGGTGGATATTAATGGTGGTGGTGCATGAATAAAATATGTTCTTTTGACTGACACGCAAGAACTTTTCTGTTACAAACCACTCTCTTTCTGGTCACCGATTGGGATTGGTGGATGGAACATGACTGTTAGCTGGGTGCGATTCATTTAGTGGCGTGCCATTTATAACTACTGTGCAAAATACAATTGGCTGTTTTGCAAGAGGTGGTTCAATTAGGACAAACTTAAAGTTGAACAAAAAGAACTGAACCAAAATTGAAGATGCACTCACATTTAAAAATATTATAACCAGCAAGTTATTATGACGGTTCCCAATTATATTGATGTGATGCCTTTTTTATACCATCAACTTCAGTGTAGCGATTCTGCACTAGTTATGCATGCATGTTTAATGATTACCGGCTAAATTATCAAAAAATGCAGATTCCTAGCATCACCTCCTTTGCGGAAAAATTCACCAACTAGCGCCACATTACTCGACACCCTGGAAGTAAAACACAGGACATGCATAACTGAAGCCTTTGGCTTTGTGCCTCTTTACCAAATAATACGGACACGGCTACCAGTTGTTTCTAAATATTCAAAGTAGGCATGCTGAACCTACATCCCCATCAAAACAATTTCCCAAAATGTCAACTTAGTTTGATCACAATGCAACGTTGCGCAGTATGACGTCATATAACCAAGGACATCATTTGTTAATTAATTCTACGGCTCTCATTTCTGCCTGACCCACAATGTTGACTCTGACCGAGAAAAGCTCTCTCATGCCTTCACCATGTCTGGGATTTCCTACCCCTCCCAAAAAATTACTCTTCATAACTTTTGAGGTCAATCAAGTGAATTGTTTTACCCACATTTTCCATACCGACCCTCCCTCTAGACAAAAGAAACGAGAAGTGTAGGACCATCATATGGACTCTCTAATTGTAAGAACAAAGCTTATAGAGGCAAAATGAAGAAAAACTCAAAAGAATCCAACACTATTTGGGAGAATCGATGAAAAAGTCTGGTTCATTTACATCTGACATCTTACATGAAAGTCATTTTATGGCTTGTGTGCTAGTATTTCAAATCGTGTATACCCTCGAACAATGAAATTCATGCCAATGTAAGATGATAAATTCCACACATGAGAAAACGAAGTCCGGAGTCTGAGGCCACAGTTTGCTGGTTTACAGCATCAGTCTAAATTCTTTAACCCACATCACAGGCCCAGTTTTTGCCATGCGGCCATTATAGACAAAACTATAGCTAACCATGAGTACAAAGTCAAATGAATAATTCAGAAACTACGAAAAACTCATGAATATTAAAATACTGAGAAAACAAAAAAATCACATCTACAAAGTAAAAATGATCATATTGAGGTGACCCACTCCAACGACGGTAAATGCTTTTAATTAAACAATAAACTGGTATTCATCAGTCGCTGGTGGCATGGCCCGGGCGAAAGTGTGTCAAGATATGTGAAGGAAACGTGTTAATGACATTACAACCAGCATTCCAACGGCTCTCTGAAGAGATTGAAATGTATAAAGTGTACATTTATGTATGTACGTGCAATTCTTTTAATACTTCCTGTTAAAATGCATTCAGAGATTTACTTACAATATTAGTCTATTGCTCTCCGAAGATGCATAGAGGCTGCATCATTTGGATAGACTCATCCTGGTTCGCCTTGCGTAATTTAGTTGGCAACTAGATTTTCTAGTTAGCTTGATGAAATACATTGAAAGAGACACATCTGGGTTCATTGGGACATTGAGCTGCGCAGGTGTTGATGTTGATGACTGGAAACTCGCATACCACGTGACCCATCAAGAAGGATGATGGAAGTCGCCAAGACCACAACTGAAAATCAACATCGCCGATTGGATACTTGCATGCTGTCGCTACCGCAGACCCACTGCCTCTCAGTGTTCATGTCATGGCAATCGATCCAGTGGTCCTCCCAGTTGTCTTCAATCAAGCTCTTGATGAAATCATTTTCTGCCTGTGACCAAGGAACCATTATCTCTCTGCAGCTGCATCTATCCCGTGCTTCAGTCGAGTTCAACAGTTGGTTGAAACGAGTGTAGCAGGTATCACCCCACTTACTCAACATGGGCCGCAGTTCAGTCGCATTTTGCCAAGATGTGACTGCAAGCAGTACATGACCCAAAAAACCTGCCGGTTTTCAGTGACATGATCAATTTTCTTTTTTTCATTAAGAGGCAGAGTCAAGAACGCTGTTTTCATGTACGACTGAAATTTTAGAGGCAATTGTGTCAATCAGAGTGCAGACTTTTAGGCTTTGTGGAAAAGGCAGCCAGACAGTATGTGGTCTACAGCTATCAAATGACTGCAGCCAATTTTTAGCACCTGCCTTAGAGTGCTGTTATTTTTGAATGGGATGGATCACACGTGCTTCAATAGATGGTGCACTTTGTGAACTGTGACAATTTCAGTCTATTAAAGTGCTCACCAAAAGCTATTGGCTTAAATTATTTAAGTGTAATAATGGAGCAAACAGTGTATACTAAGTGTATATTATGCTTTTTGTCAGATGCTCAGAGGAAGGTCTGGACAAACTTACATCAGAACTGGCAAAATCATGTTTTGAAGATCGACAGGTAGTTTTTCTTGCACATTATTAGCGCTGATCAGTTGCATTAAGGTACGTTTGAAAACTAATCAGATAATCATACTAATCCATTACTTACAATCACGCCCTCTACAAGATCGACGGGACAGTGATGTAACCAGGGGCGGAGCATACAGAAGGGCAGTTTGAAAGGATACAAATTTTACCAGCAACTTTGGAACACCGATGGAAGCCATACAAGGAAAACCAAATGATAAAAAGAATAAAACGAAATCAGTTGAATTCCCTCTTCTACATGACCTGGCTTCATTGGGCTAGATTTGAATTTTATTTCTTCTCCATTCTTTCATTCAACAAAAGGAGAGCGGCTCTAACCATACCTCCCGTTCCCCTTTCATACCACTTCGGCGTCACGAGATGAGGCTACATGACCAAATGCGCGTCTGTGCTCAACGAAGTTGCGCACATTGCGCACTCGTATGATTTGGTTTGTTTACCACGGTGATTATTAAGTCAAACAGGAAAATTAAGGTCATGCAGTAAGGTCCCTCCACTCTACTACGCTCCAGCGTCGTTCTCTGTGTGCATGGAAAATCTGGCTCTTGTAGTTCTCCCCTCTTGTACTCTACCCTGTCAAACAATAATAAACAACTTCAGACAGGCCTACATACGCTCGTGACTACAAATTGGTCTTGTGACTGAGCGAAGGGCACTCACGTGGGCCTGACTGTTTCATGTTCACGCCTCCCGGCGAATGTTTAAAACTGGCGTGAGAAGTAGATAATGTCATTGTTGACGAGCCTCCTGAAGTGGATATTTTTGAGAACAGTGCAGGAGAGACCAGACTGACAGCAACACAAGCTTTGGCAGTCTTCCAATTTATGTCATCAGCTGTGTTACTCTGTCGATTTGTCACAATGAAGGCAACAGTGCTTGCGGTAGTGTGTGTTGCTGTGTGCTTCAGCATCCAGACAGGCGCACTGTCACCGTACGGTAATGTCTGTGCGTTTCATTTCATATATTAATGCGGGCGAAAAGAAGGGCAACTGGGCGGGGGTGGCGTTTTTTTGTTTTTTTTTTTGTCGAATAAGAGTTAAAATATGCTCACCTGTAATTTCTCAATATGAAACAAGGAACTACGAAAATTCGGGGACTGGAGAAAACCGAATCTTTCCTCTTAGTTCTCTGAGGAAATCGTAGAGAATAAGTTCAAAAGCCCTTCAATTATATCGCACGCTTGTATTCGGAGTAAGGTTAAGATCCAACTGACAGAAACTCACAGGCAGCGGCGTATTCACTCAGAGGGGCAAATGAAAGAGCGAATGTGGCTGAAGGCTGATTCATCATGATTTGGGGGTAGAAATAAAAATCAAAAGCCTTACTCATGGTCCCAATATCTTTCGCTTTTATTTGCTGGTGTTGTTTTCTTGGATTCTGGTGCTAATATTTGATAACGAAATATACCCATTACTTTCTGTCCTACTCACGTATGAAGCATGCTTTGTTCTAAAAGAAAAGTCGGGAGGAAAAGGTTGACCCCTGCCCCCCCCCGCTTGATACACCACTGCCCGTCTTTTATACTCACATAGCCTCTTTGTCAGTAAAGCTTAGCTTCATGATTTGCAGAGAAGAGTGTCTCTCTTGGTTATAGGCCTGAGAATGTCGCAGCTTCACAAGAGACGACTGTGGAACAGTGTCGATGTCGCTGATCTTCACAAGTATAACCTCGACAATGACCCTCAGGCCCGTCATGGGTACCTGACCCAGCCCATGGACCACTTTGACCCTCTGGTCAACAAGCACTTCAACCAGCTTTACTGGATCGTTGACAAATACTGGAAGTCACCCAGCCATCCTGTCTTCTTGTACGAAGGGGAGGAATCGTCTTTATCACTGGACGAGGTTGCAAATGGTAGGATATCAGCAAACAAAAAATTATCAGACCCCAAAGAAAAAATCATCCAACATCCTCTTCAGCAGCTGCCGCAATAAAAGTTCACATTTGGGTCACTCTGCTCCGATTCTCTCGAAGATTCAAGTGTAGAATGGTGACAAACGCTATCCGTGATGAGACCTTTAAGAAATTCCCTAGGTGAGCAGTGTCCCTCAAACCTTCCACACATTGCCGACACCAGCGAATTATTATAACCAAAAAAATCAGTGTTGCATTGGCCCTCCTTTCTTAGGAATCCATAAGAACTACTGATAGTCTGTCATTTAGCATGATTCCTGACACATAACCCTGTGCTTCCTGTTTAAGGCTGTGGAACCTGGTGTCAAACATTTCTTCCAGGGCTATTTTAAAATTGACATGAAATGCAGATATCACAGCTATTATATAAGAAAGCCATAATGACATGAACAATATTTACAGGTCACCACGCTGAGATGGCTAAAGCTCACGGCGCCCTTATCCTTGGGCTTGAGCACCGTTTCTATGGTAATAGCACCACTAAGGAAGGATTGTTACTGAGCGAATTACAGTATCTGTCAAGCCAGCAACAGTAAGTATTCAACCGCTTAAAATATTTTACCATATTGCTGAAGGTAGGCCTAAAAGTTGATTTCCCCCTTTTTCTTGCAGTAAAGCCAGAGAGAAAGAGAGAGGTCGGGAGCTTTTTTTTTTTTTAGTTCATGTTGGCGATAATCCAAAAGACATCAATATCATACATAATGAAATTTGCTACAACAATTAATTAGAAGGGCGTGTTAGTAAGTTTGATAATTGAACAAAATAATTGTTTTTCTAAATTATTACCAGCATTTAGGGGGAAAGAAGCACTGTGCTTTTGGCTTTCCCAATAAAACAAACAATGATTCAAACTGGACAAGAAACAGGAGACATGAGACAAACAATATGATACACTGCCAGGATAGACAACAGCATAAGACAGATATGCTATCGGTTGAGACCAGATCTTTTACAGATTGAAGGTATATTGACATGATACATGATCTGATTTTCATTATAGAAACTGATAAGGTAGGTTTTGAGTGTTCTGGTAAATGCATTTAATGTTGAGGGTCTTGTCAGATCTAATAAGATCGTTCCAAAAGGACACACATTGTGCGATAAGACTATTTTTTGGAATCAGAAGTACGGTTATAATTAACATAATAGTCGGCCTTAAATGCAGATCCAGTTGCATGAGAATGTACTGAAGAAGCAGTTATAAACCAGTCATTGTAATTGCCTGGTTAAAGACCATGTTTGTATTTAAACATAAATTTACCCCAATTAGAATTTAAAAGGTCGTTTTTTTTAAGTATTCCATGCCCCACAAATAACAGAGTTGTATTAGTGAGAAGTTGGGTTTTTTTTCGGACAACTTTCCCGTGCAAAAGAAACAGCTTGTTGCATTGAAAGGTCGAGCTGCCCCAGGTAAGAAACGTCTGAGCCTGGAAGGAGAGGTTCCTAAGAAATAACACAATCTCATTTTGTCCCGTGCAGACTCGCCGATTTGTCAGTGTTTCGTGTCTTCGCCGAGAAGATGTTGGGCATGTCCGGTGACAACACATGGATTGTGTTCGGAGGATCTTACGCAGGCGCTTTGTCTGCTTGGTTCAGACTCAAGGTACAGGGCGCCCCCTTGAGGCACCCCCAACCGTCCATCATGTGTTTTGTTAACACTACCTTCCTTGTCGTGCTTGGCAGTCATAAGCCTCTGCCATTTTCAGTAAAATGCGTTGCTCGTTGATCGTTCTTTTACGGTGAACAGCTTCACCAATTCATCAGATTGTTTCCTGTTTTTTGCAGTACCCACACTTGGTGTATGGCTCTGTTGCGTCGTCTGCTCCAGTGCGCGCTCAGGCCAACTTCGAGGGGTACAATGACGTGGTAGCCGCCAGCTTTGCAGATCCGATTGTCTTTGGTTCTACACAGGTACTTCCTGACAATATTTGACATTTGCCGCTTGGTTTGGTTTTTTACCTCAAATTCAAATATCTTTACCGGGTTTTGAAAAAAGACCTTTAGAGCATGCATTGATCCATCCGCTATGAAAAACTGCCCAACAAGGGATTTAATACAAGAACATATAGTGCGTGGCCAAGCCCCAAATGACTATTTTTCCAATCGCTGTCTTACCTGGTACAGCTGACCTAACGATCATGGTAGACTCGATTGAATTTCTCCTTCGATGTTGTTTCCTCTAATCTCAGCGGATGGCAACGCAGGATTTTTTATATGTCCCAAAATGCCAAAGGATATGTGCATTACTCACTCTTTTTTGTTTTTATCCCAAAAATATATACTCCGGCGGATTTCATTATGACACAAAGCTGCCGTTTATAATTACGTACATGTTTACCTTTTGATTGTTGAGGATTAACCTTGCAACATCTTGACTTTTTTTCTTGTTTGTTGTAGTGCGTGGCTAGCATCAAACAGGCCTTTGCAAAAGTTGAGCAAATGTGGAAGGCTGGCCAACTCGTTCAAATCCAAAAAGATTTCAACACATGCCAGGACTTGAAGGAACCAAACGACTTCAAGACTTTCGCTAGTAATCTCCAAGGGGCATTCATGAGCGCCGCACAATACAATCGAGTGGAAGGAAATTCATCAAGCATCGGCGATTTGTGTAAAAAAATGATGGTTCCAGACCCCTATCAAGCTCTGGTCAATATCTTTAAGGTAATAGTTATGTCTGATACTGTGTTTAGAAATCAAAACCTGCACAGAAATAACCAGGAATTTTTTCCCGAACACATCTGCTTTCAAAACAGTTATGCATAGCAACGTCCCGTGTATGTTTCGCGAGATAAGCTGTTCTGGCAAAGAATCACCATTGGATTAGATAAAAGCTACCTATCCTTTTTTCTTTTCAGTCCAGCAATTGTAGGGATGTGTCCTTTAAAGATTTTCTCAAGCAACTGCAAGACACCTCCTTTGATCCTTATTCGATGTATCGACAGTGGTTTTATCAGACCTGTACCCAGTTTGGATATTGTAAGTGTTGCATTTTCCTCTCTGTCTCTTTCCCCAGAACGCTGCCTTTAAAAAATTTGATTCATAGTAGTTTATTATCTTTCAACGATGAATGAAACATTCCACACGATTGTCTCCTGATTATTCTAGTTAACAAATATGAAACATTAAAGTATTGAAATCAAGAAAAATATTTTTTTAACTTAACATCATGACTCCAAGCGATATTATGCTAACACGCTGGTTTTTTGCTTAGTTGGTGAAGTCCACTTTTGTAAACAGGGGACTACTGTTTTCATCCGTCAAAATAATACACAGTATGTGATATGTATCATCCCATAACATAATACAGAAAACTTAAAATCGTTGACACAAGCACTGGTTGCTCTCAGTCGAAACGAATTTCATAAAAGAACCATTATAGCATGATTGTAATAAGTTTTTCTGTTTGAAACGTTTCGGAAGCATTGCAAGCTATTCTAAGTTTTATCTTTTTAATCTTGAGGTTTGATCTTCATATGTCTCTCGTGAAATTACAGATCAGACTTGTGACAAGAATACAACATGTATGTTCCTGCCCCAAGTCGATTTGGACTTCTACTTTGCCTGGTGCAAGGGGGCTTACAACATCCCAGCTGCCGACGTGGAGGAACAGGTGAACTTTACGAACGCTTACTACGGAGCAGACCACCCCAGGGGATCCAGGGTGGTCTTCGTTGACGGTGAGTTGAGCTGAAACGCCAGCGTGACGCTTGTTCGCGAGTCTGGTACCGTCGCAGCAATGGCTTGGCGGTCATGGGCGTGGGAACGAATCAGTGAGTCCGATCTCAATCCAATAGTCCTTTGGTTCAATCCGGTCAGATCTGTGACTTCTCTAAGTGATTCAGTCCAAATCAAGCGTATCCATTCGTGGATATTTTGCTTTTTGTAAAAAAGAATACTTATTTCTTCATTGAAACCACAGGGCTAGCTCTTTGTTTAAACTGAGTAATCGAAAATCCAACCTTTCTTCCATGCAAAACGATTTCACTATTTTACCCAACTTTGATAACGCTCACCACGACGAACATTTCATTGCGTCTAAAATAACGACAAAGACCAACTTAAAAACAAACGATAGGGAAAGTTGACGTTACGTAACTTTACAGGAACCTTCCCTAAAGTTTCAGTTTCTAGGTGCAGGAAACAAGCCTATATGAATTGCCTACCTTGTCAAGCTGCAAGACTGTGACCCCACACGCCTTTCCTTGCTTAATGCACAGATTTACCTTGACCTGTCAGCAAGCAATTCCTTGGCTTCTTGCTCGGCTTCAGACATCAATGATCAAGGATCAGATTGGGGCAGAATTCAAACTATACTATGCAATGCTACCTGCCTTTCGAAGCTCCTTAACTGTGAGCTTTTCTTGAACTTCTCTCATTGAAACCGAATCCTGCTTTGGTGCTGAAATCGCTTATTAACGTCGTGGTAAATATACATATGTGTAGGTTCTTATTTTATCAATCACCAAAGCTATATCTCTTTGTTCCACATCAATCGTACGACGAATAGATAAACTGTGCAAAATATAGCAGCATTCAGCATGCGTGCTGGAGCCTGAAGTGGAAGACAGTGGTAAAAACGCAGAGTTGGTTCCTAAACAGAAGCTAGGCTGCGTCTGAATCACTTGGCTGCGGATTGAACTTACATGTGACTCAACGGGAGCTGGCTGCAGCCACTACCAGAGACTCGTGGGTAATTTCAAGCTGCAGCCAAGTAATTTGGACACAGGTTTATCACTCTTGATCTCAGAACAAAGGATGGGCATGCAGTGTAGTTACGTAAGGGAGGAAAATGTCATATGCGCAAAGCAAAACCCAAACGTTTGCATGAGAATCTACTGAGATCAAGTAACCAAAAATGAACAAGAAAGGCAAGCAACCTAAAGCAAGAAATGATTTTTGAAAAAAATACAAACGTCTTAGTAGCATTGAAATAACACACTAAACGTTAACCATCATCTTTCCACCCATCTTCAATTTGCTTACGTATTTTATAGGTACCATCGATCCGTGGCACGCCCTAAGCGTCTTAAAAGATCTGCCAGAGGACCTCAAGTCCATTTTCATGAAGGGTACATCTCATTGTGCAGACATGGCACCTTATAACCCTGACGACACCCCCGCATTGAAGGCGGGCAGACTGGTAAGAACCACTCAGTGGCTCATTCTAATACTGGGGGACATACCAACATACTAATCACGAGAAAAACGTGTTCCTTAATTGTTGTAAAAACAGAAATTACACAAAACAATCTGCGACTTAATTTTGTCTGACATGCTACCTTATCTCAACATTGTAAGGGATGACGCATTTAGGTTCAGTTTGGCAATGGCAATATAGCAAAGTCATTGAAGATCTACAAAGAGGTGAACGAGCAAGTAATCAGTGTTTAATAATGTGTTCTTACACTGTTTTGTAGTAGCACATGTACATTTGAGTTACCAATATAAAATCTTCGTAAAGGCTTTCATATTGAAAGGGGGAAAGTAACGAATCCGAAACAGCAATGTGCTCCACTTTTAATAGCTGTCCTGCCCATTGGCAGTGGGCGGCAAATAACCAAAATCTTAAAACAAAATTTTCCGGACATGGAAATAAGGCAGACGGGAAGGAGGGGGCTGGAGACTTCATTACACATTGGCAATGTTAATTATATCATATGCATCTTGCATAGGGCAACTTTGGGCGCGAACTCTCGGTCCCCACTGCGTGAAATTCCTTTGACTCTCAAATATTGACGTTGGCTGCAACCCTAGTGGCGTACATGGTCAATGACATATTGTGCAATTATTTTCAATGACATGTGAATGTTTTCAACGTATTATAACACATTATAGGCCTATTACCGGCTGATAACCAGCTCCGTGTAGCGGCCATGCCTGTTTCTAAATGGTCCACTAGATAGTCCAAACCATTCATTGCTTGGGTGGTGTTGGTCGAACTTGGTTCACCGTCCCTCGACCGTTAACCGTTAACTTGCCCTTAGTAATATCTCAAGCAAAGAAGCACCCCCTCAGCGGTTGAAAAGAGCAGCGTTGGTCGGGTGTGTTCATTTTGTTGGTAGCGATTCAACATTTCCTAGTCGTTCGTGAACCAGTGAAGTTCAGTTCCGACCAAAGAAGTCTTCGTTACCATCCCCACTATGCAGGCAGGCATATGAAAAGTTGCTCTTATTTTTCCTCACTTTCGGGTAACCTTTTGTTGCACCCTTGGATGACATGGTTGATGAACTGTTTCTTTTTTCGTTTTCTTCTTCTCTCTTCAGGCCATTGAAAAGGTGGTCAGCGACTGGCTGATGCAGGCAGAAATGGAAAAGAAACGAAAGTAAAGTAAAGGCTGCCTAATCAAACGGATAACAAAATAGAGACAGTTTTGTGCTAGGGTATAGAGCACCCAGAAATTACTAGCAACAACGAATGTCCTGATATCTTGTATTTCAAAATTTCCCTGGATTTGTTTGTCTAGGTGATTAAGGTAAATTAATTTAAAAATCGCCTAAAAAGCGGGCAACATCGGAGGAATTTTTTACAGAGCTTCGCTAAAAGCGCAAATGAATAACATTTTCAATCCATTGTATTAAGGATACAAACTCTATGCTGTTCAGTGGCCGGCCCTTTTAAAACTGAATGCCCAAGGTGTGAGTCGATCATGGCGATCTTCAAACGAAGGTCATTTCTAAGCTTTGGAGCAGTACCACTTTGAGAATTTGATGAATTTAGAATAAAGCAAAACAGAAACTGTTACAGTGTTACACAGTGGACAGTGTCCAGTAACTGACTTTGTTACAGTTTATAATTTTGTACACTATGTTCATGTTACGATCACAGTTGATCCAAATCCTTTTGTGTCTCCCTGAAAAGGTACGTGTGGAATTTACGCATGTTCCAAAAAACCTATAAAAGACTCCGTAGTCATTGATTTCGCTCTCAGTCAGTGCCTATATGCTTGTAGCATGTGCGTTCCGAAAAAGCCAGCGTTGGGTCAGCACCGCCTTGTCGTCTACGCCTCGATTACTGCCGGACCGTGGCCAAGGCTGACACCGCTGATGGACCGTGGACCCTGGAGTGTCGTGGCTCCATGTGGAAGCCGAATCTCGGGGATCGACACTGACCTACCTGTCTTAATTGGGCTGTTCTGGCGCGGAGTGTGGAGGTGCTTGGCCCGACGACCGCGCTCTTTTAGCCATGGCACTGACTGGGCGGGGCCTAATTTTCTTCCTCCCATGTGTTGGCTCCTTAAGGTAATTGTACTCGGCCGAATATAATTTGCCTCTTTGCGTATTAATATGTTTTTGCGGGCTTTCTAATTTTCATTGTAATTAATTGTGCTTGGCTGTGCTAATGTAAATAATTTCCTTTTATGCTTTTGACTGTTCAGATTCACGGTGTTCTTGCATGGGAAGTTTAAAGTTGCAGCAAACCACTACATTTACTTTGTTTTAATTTACTGCTTTGCTGATTTAAGTTTATAATTAAATGTTATTCCAAATTAGTTCCTTTATTGTTCTTTGCTCGTGTTTTTTTAGTGTCCTGGTTCCCGTCTTTTGATTTTTCTGCTGCAGTGTGTTCTCCGCACGTAACAGTTCAGTTCTACCAAATTGAAGAGTACACCTAGGCACATCCAACTGGAAAATGAAATTTACATCCTCAGGCAACAATATATATGTGCATACAAGCTTGTAAGACGTCATTTTTATGGTCGAAAAGGCGCATCAAAGGCCCAAACTTAAGCAGTACCTTTTGAGGTCATGACCCTTGGAACTCTGACCCCATACATGCTGCAAGATGTGAGGAGAGATGATGGCTCCTCGGTCACAGGCAGAAAATGACTTTGTCTGGAGTGTCATTAAAGGCAGCGTAAGTATTGTGGCGCTGCGCCCCTCCGACGAAGGCGAAGGCGCCCTCCTCCTCGAGGCGCGACTCGTCGGACGGCACGTACCGGAGAGTCCCTGAGCGGCTAGGGACGAGTCCGTTGGGACAGAAGTATAGCGTCCGCCAAGAAAGTTCAATGATCTCTGGTCTTTGTTGAGATGATGCCTAATCTGATTGGCCGAAACTTAGTGACGCAATCTGGACAGAACTGACTGGAAATAAACTTCGTCCGGACACCTGACTTATATACAATAATCAAAGTGGTTGGTTTATTCATCAACACTCCTTCAATCACACTTAACCAATACACCAGTAGAGGACGCTATTGACAGGGAGACTGTGATAATACGTGACCGGTCTTCGCCCAGATCAGCGAACACCACAATTAATTGTGGGCATCCAGTGCTGAATCAGGGACTTAAGCAAGTTTACGGGGCTTATTGTCGGGGCTGCACTACACGCAACTCAAGTCACGAGAAAGCAATCCGCCCTTGCATCAACCGCAAGCTCCTATCAGGAACTATACCACACCACCAATTAGCCCCTCAATCTACCGAGCCCTTCAACAACACACGCACCACTCGGACTTAGGCACAGTCACACTAGGCTAGGTCACTTTAACCGTTGCACGGGATTCTCGACCCTTACCTTAGGACAGGGCCTTGATCGGGACGACTAAACCTTACCTGCGCGCCCCTTTTATAGCTTCGCAATCCGACCGCTGCTGCAACAACGCCTGCGTGCGCGCGCTACATTTGATCAGGCAGTGACTTCCGTTAACCTGCGCAGAGCGCCGTCCGTCAGCTATGGACTGCCATTTTCGTAATTTCTGAATTATTTATTTTTTTTGCGAAGACCTTATATTACCTCTACCGATGCTAGATAATCTAGTTTAGTCACCTTTGCAGTAGGACTTCCCCTTGGCTGGTATAAGTTTCACAAGAGCCAGCTTCTTGCTAAGTCCCCCTAGGAATACGTACTTATCTCTCTGCCACGTGGCCCTTATAGGCTTATTTACACAAAGGCTGCCTTGGCCTGCCAGAGCCTGTTGTATATCAATTGTCAGTCTCTGTGATGTGTCTCTGAGCTGTCTAGACAGCTGCCTGGGTTGTTTCATGTTGTGGGGATGTCAAATTTTTTGTTGACTTGGTGCCCTCCTGGACTGGATAAAAGGTAATGTGTCCTTATTCTGACCTTTTTTACGTTTTTTTTATTTGTAGGCATTGGTCAACACCCAGGGACACCCTCAAATCAATTTAAAGGCCATTACAAGGGTCTTTGGGGTTGGGAGCATGATTAAAAACGGCCGTCTATCATAGATGGTGTTGGGCCCATGTTCATGCATAAGGCGGAGCCTATGCCACGTTCGCTTAACACACAGCTATGCACGCTTAGCATCTGCCTCTATCTGTTACTGGGCAGAGCGCCATCTATAACTTTGCACCACGCCTATGCCTAGCGCCCTCTGTTGCGTCACAGTATGGTCTTTGCGTGCACGTCGAATGCAAACAAGAACCCAGTTGGAGAACTTCGTGCCAGTCTGTCTTTCTTTCGCCGGTGAGGGTGTACTTAAACTCAGGGCGGATAGGCCTGCTGACACAAATCCAATCAGACTTCGAAGACTCCCTCTGTGTCTGATGCACTGTTACGAACTCACGGCAGAGGAAAAATTAAAAGACGGGAATAAGGACACTGAAATACTGGCAAAGGAAATGAAGGAGCTAATTTAGTACAATGTTTAATTATAACCTTAAATCTAGTGGTTTTTTGCAACTTAAGCTTCTCATGCAAAAACACCGTGAATTTGGACAAGCAAAAGCATAAAAGCAAACATATTTACATTAGCACAACCAAGCACAATTATACAAGGAAAATTGGCATGCTGGCAAAAACATGTTAACGCACAAAGAGGCAAATCACATTCGGCCGAGGATAATTACCCGGAGCCAACTCAAGAAAGGAAAACTGAGGCCCCGCCAAGTCAGTGCCACGGCCAAAAGAGCACAGACGTCAGGCCAAGCACCTCCCCGCGCCAGGACAGCCCAGCCCAGACAGGTAGGTCGATGTCGATCCCCGAGATTCGGCTTCTGCATGGAGCCAAGACACTACAGGGTCCACGGTCCCACAGCGGTGTCAGCTTCGGCCACGGTCTGGCGATGCAGAGGAGAGGACGACACGGAGGTGCTGACCCAACGCTGGCTATTTTGGAACGAACAAGCTAAGAGCATATAGGCACTGACTGAGAAAGAAACAAATAACTACGGAATCTTTTATAAGTTTTTAAAACATGCGTAAATTCCACACGTACCTTTTCGGGGAGACAGTAGTAGGGGTAGGAGAAAACGGGACCAAAACGAAAACCCTCCGATNACCTTATCTACCCTTTTTACAAAAATAAAAAACTCAGACTTGGCAAAATTGAAAACCCTCCTTTACATCATCGACCCTGTTTTATTAATTTAAAAAAGTCGTGCATTTACACTCATAAAACATCAAAACCACCCGGTATTAAGGACAACGTTCAATTTTGCTGGCCCCCGGTTTTCTATAATTAAAAAAGGGTCGATGAGGTATAGGAGGGTTTCGTTTTTTCCCGTTTTCTCCTACCCCTATAAACTACTACTGTCACAGAATTGAATGATTCTTTGGCACCCACAGAAGTGTTTTTTTAACTCGAATGAGTATTTGGCACCCACAGGAGCGTTTTTTTAAATGAATGATTATTTGAGGTCCGCAAGAGCGTTTTTTTAATTGAATGGTTATTTGACACCCGCAGGAGCGGTTACAAAGCGAAAGCGGAAAATGGTGGATTAATTAACGAAAGCAGAAAACGGCGGATTTGAATACACTAAATTAGTCGCGGAAAAACGGCGGATAAAAACCCAAAAAAAATGGAATTGTGCATAATGGAAGTTATAGAAAAACAATGACATCGAATCAAAACTCCAAACCAAACTGGCTAAAATATAAGCATAATCTCCGCAGTTATAATTTATGGGAAAAAACATTATCAATAAATTATATTGTCGCGGTACAAACGCAATAAATTGATACAGGCGGTAAAAATTACTCAAAGCAGTTCCAAAATTTACCTCGTAAATCGACCAACGAGTCCCAAATTGGCGGATGACGACAAAGATTTTATCAATCAGAACTTATCTCGAAAATTAGACGTATACGCAACGTGAATCGCTTCCAAGGCATACCGAAAGTGGGAATTGATTCTGCCGTTTTTTAATGACGATGCAGCTCAATTTTTCATTACGCACAAGAAACATATTGAAAAATTGGCATTTAATGAATTGGAGAAAAATAGGGGCTTATCGTTTACAAACGGGTATTAAAGTCCGTTTCAAAAAGAAACGACTGGAACAAAAAGATTTTGTCACTAAGAAATTTACCTTTTCGTCAAAAGTTGCAACTATTAACATTCAATCGGACGTTTAAAATGCATTGGAAGAGCAAAAACAGCAATAGTTGGATAAAATCGACAAATTTGTAAACAGGGGTCTGGTTGGATACTAGACGAAATTACAGATTTTTATCTTGACGTGATTAGATATGATCCACATGGCGGTAGTTACATCATATTACCCGAGTATATCCAAAATAAGAACGCAGTCATTAATGTCAAAAACGACGACGAAGAATGCATTCGTTGAGCAATATATATCGCCCTGGGATTCTATTCAGTCAAACGTGCAATCGAGAGAAATAAGGATTATAAATACATCGAGTAACGACATACCCTAACGAATTAGATTTCACCGGTTAAATTTCCCCACGCCAAAGAATCAAATTCCCAAAATTGAATTGCAAAATAAGTAATCGATTAATTTTAATTAAATTTTAATTAAAACAGATATGTAGACTTACTACTATTCGACAACGGAAATATACAACATTATTGCTGGATTAAAAACATGTCGAGACTCCTTTCAAACGTAATTAATAATCACAACGGTCAAATTTATCAATATTGAGAATGTCAATCCATTTTTCAAAAAGCCGAAAAATTAGCCAAACATCAAGAAGATTGTCTAGGAATAGACGTCCCGATTACTAAAAGTTGTTTTACCGTCTGAAGATAACAACATATTAAATTTAGATTGAGAGACTACCAAAATTAACAATTAGCCCCGTTTGTCATTTATATCGATTTTGTGTCGATCTTCGAACCGATGCTGCTACCGACGGCAACACCGTCCCGTCAAGAGCCAAGTCCTGACGGTAACCAAAATGAAAAACCCCAAACGAGTCGAACGGGGTAAATGACTGGCGGAACATAACAAGAAAATGAAACAGCAACTCGCCAAATAAAAAATCGGTGAATCTGCCGACTCCTGAATGAAATCCAAAATGTAAAATCTATAAACCCATTTCAGAAAAAAGACATTGGATCATAGGCCGTTTAGTAGTTAGAGGAATCACACTGTTTTTGTTTTTGAGAAAGAAACCCACCGAGGTAAAAGCGCCGCCACCATTTCATGGAATAATTTGGAAATGTAATTTAAAAACAGTATATATTAAGATGAGTAACGCTAAATCGATTGACGTAAATGAGATTGCCGATATCATGGCACAGTAGTAGTAGTTTCAGCAATTTTCATGGAATATGCCATGCTTAGTAATAAACTTCTTAAAACTTCTACCGGCAAGCTTGCCCATGGGTTAAAAAGTAGGTTTAAAAAGTAGGTTTAAAATCGGTTTATTCTAAAGTAACCATGGCAGAAGGTGGATTTGATGACACTGAAATGGGTGGCTTGGAAAATCCAGAAGAACAACAAGCCGATTGAGAAGAACAACAAACCGAGCAAGAATTAACATTGGTCGATAGCTTTGATCCGACCGCTGATTTGGATCTAAAAGAAGAAACGACATTTATCGAAGGCTCGGTTAGACCCAAAGAAGATGCCTTAGTCACAGGCGGAGTAATGTTTAGAACCAATCCGGCGGTAAGTAATTTCTATGATTTTTTCAAACGTGCCGGTCGATCAGATATCCCTAGGCCAAATTATAACAATATATAACCGAAATAGATAATATATATCACAAATATGAGGGTTTTATTATAAAAGAGCCGATTTTCGCTAACCAGTATTACTTTAAGGCACCCAAAACACCGATCAGATCCGTAGTCAGATCAATCCTATGAAAGAAACGATTACCCCGGTAACGGACGACGATTTAACATTGCGCAAGAAAATTAGAATGTTATTGCGAACAAGGCGTGACGATCGTCAGTATTTTAACGGCTTTTAGTTTAGCCATCAGGCTGATAATTTCGAGCGTAGTTGCCACTGTGACAGCTGTTGGTGCGCCTAGTATTACGCCGGAACCAACACCGGCGTTTAGCCCAAAACCAATACGACCGTCGAGGTATAACCAATTGGATCAAACGACAATAACAGAATTTCGCAAATGTTTTAAAGAAACTAGATCTGAAAGCGCTTGCTGCATTGCCGGGGGCTATTGGCAGTATACTAAGTTGGATATTCAACGTGAAGAGTAAAGCTGTAGGTTAAATAGCAGATCACGTGTGGACGTTGTTTGTAGGTGTGAGTGTTTTAATCTTTACCAATGTTCAAAAGATGTATATAGGTTTATAATAGTTTAACCGATTATTTGTGGGTAAAAGAAATTAACCCACATCCTCAAAATTGAGAAAGTCGTTTATTTTTGGGGGGGGGCTTTCTACTTTTTGGTTTCAGTTAATACGGTATACAACATAAATCCAAGACTGGCGACCGTAATCGTTCCTACGGTTTACGACAATTTTACTTCGTTGTGAATGACCAACGGTTTCTATTCTATTCTCAAGTCCATGCTCCAAGTCGGACAACGAATTTATTAAAGAGTCAACGATAATTATGAATTATCGTTGGGCGTCTAATCCGGTGCCACGTGCCATTACGCTCGTTTTCGTTCAGGCTTGAGCCCCCAACAGCCACCAAAGCCCATGTAAGTGGATCCCGCGTGTTTCCGTTTATTACACGTAAATCATGGACGTCGTTGTTTTTATTTGGTATCGGTACGTATCCGTCGTCGTAATAATACGCCGTTCCCAACCCGTTTGACACGGTGTCCCTCGATTGATTACACGATATATTTTTATCGACGTTAAACAGCAAGTAGGTGTCTGTAAATTGCCGATGTCCGTAATTATTGTGCAACGCGTCGAATATGTTGTCCCTCGAATTCGAATCGGTAATAGATTGAAACCTACCCCAAAAGCCGTCGTTGCGCAATAGACGGCGAAATAAAATTGGTGTTGGGTCGGTAACCCAACGATGAACAGCTTCGTCCTTTTTAACACGGTTAAATTTGGAAACACGGGGGAAAGTAATAATCTTTATTGACCACGATCGATAATTGACTAAAGTTGCCTTCCATCTTTTACTTTATAATAAACTGATTAAAAAAGAAACCGGTTTTATAAATGAGTTGAAAGGTGAAAGGTAAGCGGGTGGTTGTTCTTAGTACATTCTTGCTAAATATTGGACGGACTTTGTTAAAGTTATTCGCCAGGCTTTTTATAAGGTCTTTTTTAGAAAACTGCCGCCCTTTCGTTGGCACTTGGCGAACAAATTCGGCTTTGTCCATCATTTTAGCTTCTTGAAAATTGGTAGTCGTGTTTGACCGAACCTTTTCCTTCAAATCATTAAATTTCCTAAGTTCGTACAAAACTTACGTATAGAGGAACCCCGATATGACGCTTTTAGCGTCGATCTGCGCAATTCCGCGCTTGAAATCGAAGCTGTATATGTCAGCTTCAATTCTTAATATCAGACAAATTGAAAGTAAGGAGTCGAGACACAAAACACATAAAGGTATGTTAAATTCAGACTTTTCAGGCCCACATTTTTGTGGAAGAGTCTTGGTCCTGTATGCTGTGCAGTGGTCGTGGTTTAAACTGAAGTGGCGTCACACTTATGAACCGGATACTCCATGTACTGTGTGGACCCCGTGGGCGCGAGGGACGAAATTCAACACAGAGAGCCTCGGTTTCGATGCAGATATGCGCAGACGGCGCTAATATGAAATCCTTCTATTCCTCGATGGCGTTTAGCTTGGCATCGCAAAGCATTCTGATATGATCGTGCTTTTAAGTTTTGTGAGTCACTTCCGACTGGCGTACTTAAGTATCGCGTAAGCGCCAAATGCACCTATGACTATGCCCTCCATCACTAACCCGACGGGTCTAGTAATAACGCCTATTAGAGTGGCAATGCCAATTTCCCGTAACTTAGCTCAATTAGTATTTGTTCATTCTTTCTGTAAGAAGTTTCTCTGACGTTCTCGTAAGATTTGTCTGCGAATTTCTTCAATCTTTTGAAGGCGGTAAACTTTAGTTGCCTCGGCTTGGTAACCAGTCAGGTCGGGGTATATATTCGACAGATCGTTTGTCGTCATCTTTTTAAAATAAATTTTTATAATCGCGCGGTAAGATGTTTAGTTCAAAAATTAATACTTCATTTTGCAAAAGCCCTCCCGTCTGGAGCCTGAGATAAAAGGTTAATTTATCTATATTTCTGCGTTTTAGTTTTCTAGCCGTTTCAAAATTACTGCGGAAATATCTATTTGTCGAATCACTTGCAATAAATCAAACGATTACCCGTTGTAAAAGTTAAGTTGACGTTGGTATCCAACTGTGGGCAGTAAATGTAAGCGAGTTTATCTGATTCCAACGTGTAACCTTTTTCAAATAAAATGTTTTTTGCTGAAATGGCCTTGTCGCCTTTTGGGTTATCGATTACGGTTTCAACTTGAACATCTGGAGATTTTTGGACAAATAAAAAGTGTGCGTTTCGTGTGATTCGACATGTTTTTATTAAACTAAATTTAAATCATTTTTACGCGTATCACAATTTGTGCAAACGAGTAAAGTCGTAATGCCCTCGTCATCCGAACGCATATGGAACTGTTGATAATACGTGCCGTCTTTTTTACAAACCTGGCATTTTTGAAGCGTCGTATCGCTTATGGTTAATTTATATCGTGGGCAAATGGCCACAACCAACCTTTCGTAGTTTATTTGCGCAGTGTCGGCAGAATTATAAATAAATTCGACGCCGAATCTTTGGGCAATATTTTTGCATTTAAATTGTAGACTCATTTATAATTTAATTGGCGTTTTCCGAAACGTTTCTCAATTTATTTGCTGCGTTAGTGTAATGTTTCTCAGAGATTTTAAACAGGCCTTTTACGGTTTCTGCTTTTTCTTTTGTGACGTCTTGATAACAGACCGTAATTGGAGCTCGGAGTGGACTTGCATCTGGAAATCTAGCCACTAAAACTTGGTTTACTTTATATTCGATGAGACCCACTTGTTCCGTATTTAATTTAACGTCTTGTTGTTTAAATATTTTGCTTGTTATAGATTTGGACTTTTTGTAGACAAAACGCTGGTTGTATTTACCGCCCACGTTTTCTGTTTCGTCTGAATAAATGCAAGTTAATATTAGTCCGCAATTGCGGCACACGAGATCAGATTGTTCTCTTCTTTCCATTTTTAGGTGTGTGAAAATGTGTTTTCTTCGTCGATTTTCCCACGTGTTGGTTTTTGACAGAATAAAACGATTAAATCTCGTTCGGCCGATGGTAAATAATCATTCATTGTTTTTAAAACAGTTATTTATTTAAGGGACGTTAGATTCATCAGTTAATTCATCAGTTTAATCCACCTTTAATTTCACGGGCGTTTCAGATTCTGATTCAGATTCAGATTGTTCAAATGAGGTCAAATCCTCTAAACGCTTGTAATGCCGATAAATTCTAAATAATGCCGTCATTTCTAACTTTCAACATTGCCGTTGATACCGTATAACTAAGACTGGCATCTTACGACAGCGAACCGTGGGTTCCATGATACACGTCTTTCGGTTAAATGAATGATTGCGCATTACATCTTTTATTTATAAATTTCTCAATATTTGACGACGTGATGGGCCTCTTTCAGTTGTCAAATAACGAGGCGTAGGAATCTATTTTCACGTACATGCGATGTTTTTCTGTGTAAGGCGGTTTTACCACGTGTGCAACTTTCTCGATTTGTACAAGTAGTCTTTATAAGTGTTAATGGTAATTGAGGGTACTTTTGACTTTACGGCAGCTTGCGTTTCGGCTTGCTTTTTAATGTACTCGTAAGCCACCAAATTTATATCATCAAGTATATCCATCATCTGCTTTTGTAGTTGATGGCAGATTTGGCGACCAACGACGTTATCGACGGTGTTATCACGCTTGCCATATTTATAGACGGGATATATGCCGTAACAAGTCGTGTCTGTAATCATAATCAACAGGCGCTTTTCTTGACCGTCGTGACTATCATGATTGGGAGACCAGTATTGGGTTACGTAACTGCCTTCTTTAATCACAGGATTTGAAATAATGAGTTGATTTGCATCAGAAGTACCGTACGACATTGGGATCGCTGTTGTTGGCAATGAGACGCTCGTGGCCGTCGGTTATGATTTAAATTTGGGTTGACATGATTCTGATTTTGTATTTTAGTCGGTATTCTTCTGATTTTTTCTTGACGGTTTTCTTGACGGTTAATTGGCCGCGTCTATGAAATCTTCGGGTGGAATATCCACTCTGATTAAATCTTCTATGTCGACATCATATTAAATTATTAACCCAATTTCATATAAATCGGAATTCAATTTAGATCCAGCATTACGCGGTAAGTCGTCTTCTCGTTGATGTCTAAACCAAAACAGTCAAATACAGTAATTATAGCAATTGAGCTATTAAAACAACAAACACAATTTATACATTCGCTGCATTCGTTGCAGGTCGAGCACTGGGTACATTTCCTGCAGTCGTGACATTTGTTGCAATCGATACATTCGATAAAACTGTCAGAATTTTAAATAATGCATACAATCGACCGCATTCGAATTATCCAATTCGACCTTGTTCTTGCAAAAGAAACAATTGACGTTGGTCGTTTTGATTTGTCATGTCTGGTTTCTATTTAAAACAATTAATTTTTTTTTTTTAATTTTAAGGGGCAAGTTAATCACTGGGAATAGATTTTCCTTTGGTTTATAAACTACACATCCGTCTTTGGTCTGTCTCACCAAGCAAATGTGATACTATTTTGCACGTCCAGTTTCGCTTGCTCGATTTCGTTTCGTTTCGTTACCATTTACGAATAACCATGCTGTGTGACTTGTGACTAGTTTAGCGTATTCAAATTTAGTGGCAAAAGTTGGATCCATTTGACTTTTAGAGAAATCTTGGGAAATGTTTTCATAATTTTCGGCTGACCAATAATGAATCCACCTTTTCCCGCTTTCGTTAATTTATCCGCTGTTTTCCGCTTTCGTTTCGTAAACGCTCCAGCAGGTGTCAAATAATCATTCAATTTAAAAACACGCTCCTGCGGTTATCAAATAATCATTCAATTTAAATTTAAAAATCGCTCCTGCTGGTGACAAATATTAATTCAATTCGGTGACGGTAGTAGACGTAGGGGTAGGAGAAAACGGGGAATAAACGAAAACTCTCCTATACCTCAACGACCCTTTTTTAATAATCGAAAACCGGAGGTTGCAAAATTGAACGTTCTCCCTAAAAACTTGATATTTTTAGGTGTTTTAGGAGTGTAAATTTTTTAAAAGGGTTGATGAGGCATTGGGGGGTTTTTTCAATTTTGCCAAGTTTAAGTTTTAGATTTTTGTAAAAAGGGTCGAGAAGGTATCGGAGGAAGGGTTTTTGTTTTGGTCCCGTTTTTTCCTACCCCTACTACTGAGACACAAAATGATTTGGATCAACTGGGATTGTAACATGCACACCAAGAAATTCAATTAGCGTACTGTACTTCCCGTTATCAATCGCACCGATCTTTGTTGTATAACAAACGAGCCAAACTTCAGAGAATGGAGCAGATAAAAGTGGAAACAGATACTTGGGTGATAACTGATAACATTCAACGCTATGCATCTGTAAAGATCGTCCTCTTGATTTTGAGTTCGAAGGGTTTTGGCGCTAGCCTCTAATGTCGGTTAGTTCCTTCCGTGAAACGACAAGGAAAGATTGGCAATCCATTTTGTGAAATGTAGAAAGTACTTTATCATGAACCCAAACTTGTCAGCCCGCATGCATTGAGAAAACAGTGAAAATTACGCTTTTTATAGGGGGGCTTGTTTTAGAAAAGTGCACGTTGCGCAAGAACGGCATGCCCGCTTTTCCATGAAACTGGTGTCAAATAACCAGAACCAGGCTCTTGAAAAAAAGATGATGATGATAATTTTGGATTAAATCTTGAGGGGCCAGCCAGACTCCCCTTCCCTGCTCTTTCAAGGTTGTATGTCTAGTGCGTAGAGCGTGCGTATACATAATTTTAATAGTAACCGTTGTCCAAAAGAGGTAGTTTTAACGAGAAAAGTTGTTTGAAGTTTCTAGAATTATGAGAAATCAGTAAAGAAAACCGAATTATACAGTTTACATATTTCCCAACAGCATAATGGTAATATCGGAAATCACCAACTATGGCTTGGGGAAATTTCAGCTGAATTGAGGAAAATTTCAGAAACTGGTGGAATAATTTCTGTTACGTGACCTTGGGGGCTACCAAGCCTACGACTTCTTCAAGTGTAGGAATCTTTTCGTCTGGTAACCAACTTAATGGGAGGTATTGTGACGAGACGTTTCAGCATCTGTAATATTGTCTTGCGTTGGGGGGGGGGCTTGATAGAATACAGACTATTTGCGAGATGTGAGCATGGTTGCATGGAACGGTGAGGAGGAGCTGTACATGTATATGCTCAAGCGTTTCGGAGGGAGTGTTACTTCTTTTACTTTCTTTCATGATGACCGCATATCAGATCTTTTGAAACAACCACAGGCTACTCTAAACACGTTTTAATTCTTCTTCAAAGTTACACAAAACAAAGAATATAAATTACTACAGCTTCATTTAAAAAATTACAAACTTAGGTTACAATATGATTTTTCATTTATTATTAGATGACTCTTTCATTTTTCTACAGTTACCCTTGCTATAAAAAGAGGGCATAACTGATAATCAGCCAAATGTGCCTATTTTAGCAGACTAAATGTAGGCCACAAAATGCATAAAGCTATATATTCAACAATTTACTGTGTGCACATAGGCAGGGAAGGAGAACTATTAAAAATGGGTTAATTATTTCCTATGAGAAATTTGCACATTCATTTTATCATGAACTTGACCAGAGAAAAAATTTAGAGACAGGTGGCAAAAAAGACAGACTCATCTCAACGCCAATTAAACACCACGGCTACTCAAGCAAAAGTGACCGGGGGTTCACTCCGCGATCTGGAGCAACTAATAAATTAAAGTCAAACCGATATCTATTTAAAGTCATTAAATCACCGTCCCTACAACTGTGAGTGACCGCAACTGATAAATTATTTGAAGTTATAATTTATTTTGCCTCAAATTGATTGCGTTAAGTTTGAACAGGGATCGGCTGTACACATCAAGATTGCAATAAAGATATCCAGAATGGACTAGAAAAAAACCAGGGAGGGGGATAAAATTCATGCACAAAGTTTATCGAATTCAATTCCTCTGATTTATTTATTGAATATTACTCAACCATTGTTTTATGTATATTTCTTAGGTGTGCAAGTAAATTAAGTTGGATGCGATATTCACACAAAGGAAGTATTCAGGAGAGATTAAGAAAAACATACAAACAAAACCGTCTTAAAGGCATCTTTCACATTAATGCAAATCATGCTTCGAAAGTTTTTAAATTTGAAGTTACATCAATGAACAAAACAGATCTTTCAAACAAACAAAAACATGAAATGAAAAGAGGGTCCAGGCTATGCAGTCAATCTTTTCTCATCCAGTTGCTGGCATACTCCAAGTGGTGTACCATCGTTGTTACGGAGAGAACGTAGAGAATAAAATTCCCATCGTCAATTCCTTATCTAGCAACAACATTTATGTGTGTTTCTTTTCCATTTCGGCCTGAATGAGCCAATCGCTGACCACCTTTTCAATGGCCTGAAAGAGACAAGAAAACAATCATTTCATGTGTAGCCAAACAATTTTTGGACCTCTTTTCACGACACCATGGAATGCTTTCGTATAGTTTAAAGGGTTTCCGAAGACCACTGGAACCCTTAACGTTGATCATGAAAACTTTTTGCGTGCTGATTGCCTTGCCCGCACTACGGATTTCTCCCACTTAGTCAGTTTCCCTATAAAGTTTGTTTCCTGATTTATGTTCAAAAAGCCATATCCTCTCTGAGTGGTCCCTGTTCATCACATCCCAAGTTGTATCGAATTATTGTGGCGCGATCCCTGGCTACATGGTGTTTCAGGGTTAATGGCTTCTGGCTAGCGTCCCCGGACAACGATAGTGACAACTGGGAAGAGCCACCAACATAGGGCTGGATAGCTAAGTTGGTAGAGCACCAGTACGGTATTCAGGAGGACACAGGTTCAAATCCTGCCCAAGTCAATTTCTTGGTTTATCTGTAAACTCTAGATAATAAGCTGTCTGCACCCCCACCCAATAAGAGCCAGTGAGTATGATTCTTACCAGTCTGCCTGCCTTAAGTGCTGGGGTGTCGTTGGGGTTAGAAGGCGCCATATCCTCACAATGAGATGTACCGTTTATGAATATAAACTTGAGATCCTCAGGCAGATCTTTTAAGACGCTGAGGGCATACCACGGATCAATAGTGCCTGTAAATTAAAGTAAGCAAATACCAGAGAAACAAATAACGGCATTGGGGTACCGTCAACTTCCGTATATTGCATTACTTGTTAGGATCAGTTCGACGTACCATCAACAAATAACACCCGTGTTCCTCTAGGGTTGTCTCCCCCGTAATACGTGTTTGTAAAGTTCACTTGTTCCAGCACGTTAATAGCTGAGATGTTGTAGGCTTCCGCACACCACGTCAAGTAGTAATCGACGTCGACTTGAGGCAGGAACATACAGTTTGTGTTGTTGTCACAAGTCTGATCTGCAACAGCAGAAAAAGATTATACCCATCGGCGGGTTGATGTCCAATCGTGTGAAGAATGGTCAAACGATGGCAACATTTTTAACGGTGTACTGTGCGCATTTAAATAATGACGGATGTCTCTGTGAGAAAACAATCCTTGTCGAAAGAGTTCGTCTATGCTCTCTTTTGATTCACTATGTCTTAACTCCCGATTGTTGGTTGATCATATTAGCCAGTTTCCGTTTGAAGTAAAGAGACGCACAGAGTATCGCCGATCAGTTCTCGACTACAATACGCATTCACAATTTTTGGAAATGCACAATGTAAGTCAGTTGGGGCCGCAAACAGTTACGAAAATTGCGTTCTTAAGATTTGCAAGTGGTCTGTGTAAACAGTGCACGCAAATTACCGCCATGAACGAACAACGATTCCTCGTACACTTAGTACAAGACTTTGCCAATTGTATCCGCATCACTTCTAAAGACGGCACAATACTGTCAACGAACGGCTGACCTAATCGAAAACATCAAACCAAAGTACCTGAAGTGTGGCTTCCAGAGGCGGTATAGCCACCTAAAAAGCATTTCAGGCAATTTTTTTTCAGAGTTTTGGCCATTATTTTGTTTAATTCCTTGGTGGAATGACCTCACGCACTGTCTGTTCCATGACTCCTTGTGTCGTATGATCTTGCTTGCTGTCGGCGGTCGTCACTTAAGACCATTATGAAAACAACGCTTTAGTTATCAAATCTCTTCATTTGAAGGGGCGAGGTTATAAAGAAGATCTGCATTACTTACAGTAGCCAAACTGGGTGCACGTCTGATAAAACCACTGTCGAAGAACTTGGTAAGGATGGTAATAGACGTTGGTCAGTTTTTCCAGGAAATCGTCAAAAGACACGTCCCAACAAGTGCTGGGCTGAAAAGTAACAGAAATAAATGCCAAAAATGGTTTGTCTACAAGTCCGGGACACATTTTAGCATGATGTCAGTATTTTAAAGACATTAAAATTACCTTAAACATTTTCACCAGTGCTTGATAGGGATCTGGGACCATCATTATTTTACACATATCCCCGATAGAGGATGAATTTCCTTCCACGCGATTGTACTGAGCGGTTCCCATAAACCTACTCTGAAGATAATTGGCGAAGGTCTTGAAGTCGTTAGGCTTGGTCAAATTCTGGCAAGTATTGAAGTCATTTTGGAGCTGGTCAAACTTGCCAGCCTGCCGCATTTGTTCAATTTTTCCAAAGGCTTGTCTGATGCTAGCAACGCACTGTATCGAAACAATAAAACCAAAGTAAAATCAGAACGGGACAAAAAAGTACATTGTCATAATAAAATCAAGGATTCTAAAATTGCTTTAAGCAGCACGATAGATCCGAATCCACGTCTGATATCCAAACCTTGGATTGGATCAGATTTATAAATGTCAGATCGGATCAGATCACATTGGGACAATTTGAGTGAAGTTCTTGGCAACACCTGTGGGTGCACACATTTTTTGAGGCATCAAAAGGCAATTTGAATACAATTTCAGTGGAGTGCCGACCGGGGGCACTGTTAGCTTCCCCGGTATCCACAGTTGGACCCCGCTCTTTCCTTTGTACCATACGTTCGGAGGAAATCGGTTCGATTATCCTCTCTGTAACCCAACTGACGTTGTGTTACATCGCTCTTATTTAAAGCAAAAGCTTTTCGTGAACATTTTCCAGCTTTCTTTCTGTGTACAAGGCTGGCAAAACCTTTACAAATTATTCCAGTAATTGTCACACTCTAAAATTAATAAGGAAACATCCAACTGGCCTTAGCAGAGCCAAAGACGATAGGGTCTGCAAAACTGTTGGCTACCACTTCGTTATACTCCTCGAAGTTGGCCTGAGCGCGTACCGGGGCAGACGACGCTACAGAGCCATACACCAAGTGTGGGTACTGCCAAAAAGTAACAGTTTTATAAATTGGTGAAAGTGTTCAATGTAAAACGACGTTCAACGAGCAACGTAAAAGACAGGAAACGACAGAGGCTTATGACTGTCAAGCACATATTGGAAGATGGTGGTAATAAAACACCTGGTGGAGGATTGTTGTGCCTCAAGAGGGCGCACTATACCTTAAGTCTATACCAAGCTGACAAGGCGCCTGCGTAACCTCCTCCAAACACAATCCATGTGTTGTTTCCCGACATGCCCAAAAACTTCTCTGCGAACCCTCGAAAAACTGACAGATCGGCGAGTCTGCAAAGTGCAAGTAATAGGAAATTACTTCAAAGAGGCTTATACTCCGTTGCTACAGTTTGATAACAAGTGCCATCAAATTAACCAACTTTTAGGTACACCCGTATGGGTATCATGGTGGCAAGGGGTGTATAATAAACAATTCTGCCCCCCCCCCAGTGTCCGGGAAACACCTTTACCAAGATAAATTTGCCCCCTTTAAGTCAAATTTGTCCCTGCCGCCATTTGTCTCACTGATGAATGAGACTACAGTCCACGTGCAACGTCAAAAGTCTAGCACCCAAACTTCGTTTTACTGTTTTGCGCAGCGTCTAGTTGGACGCCTTGGTTTTTCTGAAATTTCCATCACTTCAAACCAAAACGTTTGTGTGAATAGGGCTATCCTGGACAAGGTATTCAAAGTCACTGAGTCATGCAAGCTTTTCAATTCTCGTGTTTCACCGCGGCGCGGCTTGGTTCGACTAAATACGTATTCAGCAAAAATGGTGCAGTGTCAAAGTGTACGAATAACAGTTCAGAATTACTGGGTGCAAAAGCAGGCTGTGGAATACGGCTACTACCTTCTTTGATTTCTTGCCGGAACATAGCTAGATTGGTTTTATATATCTAAAATTGCGTTTTTCTCTGGTAGTTTGGTGAGGGTCAGGAAAGTGTGAAATGTATTTGCTATTGACTGAAATCACCAAAAATTACTTTTTGGCTTTCAAACGGAGGGGGACAAAAATCATTGGAGGGGTACTGATGACCCAGAGAAGGCAGAGATTACAAATAACAAATGACGACTTACTGTTGCTGACTAGAAAGGTATTGTAATTGAGGTAGTAACAGCCCTTCTTGAGCGAAACTGTAGCCATAGAAACGGTGCTCAAGCCCAAGGATAAGGGCGCCGTGAGTTTTAGCCATCTGGGCGTGGTGCCCTAGACAAGAGCATATAAGGTAATGAAGCATGGTATTAGGGTGGAGAGGTGATGTTTAGCTCACCGAGGTATTGAGAGATGGCAAACCTTAATTCCATTGGTGAAGCTGTACTAAGAATCAGTTCAAGCAGATCACGATGCACGTGTGCTGCCATGCATTCATGTGGGGCTGTTGAAAGAACTATCTGTCCACTTTGCCAACTCCCATACGGAAAGCAGCCATCTAACCTTGAGAAGAATGACCCTTTGTACCATTAAAGTTGTTTGTTAGTCTAGAATTAAGCTTACCGTGGCTCTTGTAGATTTAATATGGTGATGGTATGTTTGCATTACTTTATTAAACTTAGCCGTGTTTCTTGTCTGCATGCTATCAATCTTACCGTGTGTAACCTCGTCAAACGTCAATTGCGTTTCTCCACCCAGATAAAGGAAGACTGGGTGGTTGTTTGACTTCCAGTAAAAATCAACTATCCAGTAGAGCTGGGTGAAATTCTTGTTGACTAGAGGGTCAAAGTGGTCCATGGGCTGTGTCAGGTACCCTGACCAGGCAGGGGGGAAAGCGTCAAGGTTGTACTTGTGAAGGTCATTAACATCGACACTGTTCCACAATCGTCTCTTGTGGAGCTCCGATGTTTCAAAACCTACGTAATTCATACCACAACAGATGGATAACTGACAGATTTCTGTCTCTCATGGAATAAGCCATCATATTGAATTCATTCATCGGAAGAACCTTTGAGATGTTATTGAATGGCTCTGTGTGTTGTGTGTATACTACAATGTGTCTGAAAACATAGACTGTGAACATTTTCGTCAAGACATTAGTTTTGCACTTTCGAAGTATTTGGACGAAACTTCATTACCCGACCCCCATGTATTCGCAGTTTTTATAATTTGAAATTAAGGTTGATTCTTGAAAAGCATACTCCCGTTCAATCAAAGTCTCTTACTATACGGTTGAATGCACCATGGTTTACTGAGACCATTTGGAAGGAGAAAATTAGGCGTAAAAAAATGGAGCGTCACTGGCAATGCACTCGACTCACTGTTGACTGGGAGATATATAAAATGCAATGAAATCACGTTGTGAAGATGATCAAGGATGGGAAAGTGCAGTATTATCAGAATTTAATCCATGAGAGCAGAGGTGATTGTCATTAAATTTTTCGTGTGATTGATAATTGGTTATGCAGTGAGTCAGTTCCTACATTTCCTACTCATAAGTCAGAAGTCGAATTGGCAAATCAATTCGCTAATTTTTTTAAGATAACATCAGCAACTTACGACGTATGAGTAGTGTGGGTCAAGGAGGTTTTGATATTCAAGATCAAATTCCTTCTGAAGGATTTAAGCTTAATTTAGAATCCACCACTGGTGCATAGATCTAGCAGATCATACGCAAGTGTCCTCCAAAGACTTGCGGTGGTGACGCAATACCGACCGCACTTTTAAAATGCCCGAAATTTGCCAATAATCACATCTCTTGTTTTTTTTCTATTACCCATGCGGTTTTCCAAATGATTTTAACATGTCTACTGTCATTCCCACTCCAAGATCTCGCAACCTCAAGGCTGATCAAGTCGAGTTGCTTAAGAATTATCGACCAGTCGCCAATTTACCATTTGTCTCTAAGGTTCTTGAGAAGGTGGTTGCACGACAACTGACTAATAATATGACCAGGTTTCATTACCTTTTCAGTTGGCATATAAGCGCCAGCATGGGACGGAAACGGCTCTCGCTCACATTCAAAATGATATTTGGAAAAATATGGATGAGGGCAAAGTTTCCATTCTGGTATTTCTTGATCTAAGTGCTGCTTTTGATACGCTTGATCATGACTTTTGCTTCATCGAATAAGGACACATGTAGGAGTTTCACAAAATACCTTCGAGTGGTTTTCTTCTTACCTTAAAGACCGTTTACGCAGAGTTCAGATTCGGTCTTTGTCGCCTGATGGTCGGAGTGGATATCGGAACCATGAGTGGCACCTATACACTTAAGTATGGCGTCCCCCCAGGGCTCTGTACTCGGACCACTTTAATTCAGTGTGTATATGTTGCCATTAGGGGATGTTGTTAGGCATCATGGACTGAGTTGTCATTTTTATGCTGATGACACTCAAATGTATTTGTCAGCACACCCAACTTCCAGCAACATACAGCAACAAGTGTCAGTTTTAGAAAAAAAATGCTGTGACGAAATCAAATGTTGGATGGCGATTAATTTCTTGAAGCTAAATGATGATAAGACAGATCTGCTTACCATTGGATCGCAAATTTCGTTGAGCAGAATTTCTAGAACTGTTGTGAATATTGGTAATCACAATATTACCGCAGTCTCTGAAGTCAAAAGTCTGGATGCGATTTTTGACAAACATAATGAACATGCAATCCCACATAAAGAATATATCTCGTACTGCAATGTATCACCTGTACAATATAAGCAAAATTTAGCGCTATTTAGGTCAATCAGCCACGGAGCAGATTATTCATGCACTTGTTGTCTTGCATAGACTATTGTAATTTTGTTTAAATTGGTCAGCCCTTGCTCCTTTGCAGATAGTTCAGAATGCTGCAGCAAGGTTACTAACTAATGGCAAAAAATTGAATTTCAGCGCTGATGCAATGACATTGGTTGTAAGTAAAATATGGTAGATTTTAAAGTGTCTCCTGATCGTTAAAAGTCTCCACAATAGTGTTCCAAGTTATTTAAGTGATCTGCTTGATGTTACGATTCCTAGTCGATTCACTCGTTCTGCGCTGGACTCGTCTAAGCTTACTCTTCCAAAAACTAGGCTGTCTTCTGCTGGCGAGAGGATGTTTTCTGTGGCTGGTCCCTGTTTCTGGAACCAGGTTGAAGTTCATCTAAGAGTGTCTAGGGGTGTGGAGAGTTTTAAGACCGGGCTGAAGACGCACCTTCTTAAACAAGCATTTTTAGTTTTTTAGTACTGATTTTAATTATGGTATATGTAGGTTCTATTTATTTATCTATTTATTTACATTTTGATGTACAGCGCCTGGGAGCAGCTTAATCGATTGGGCGCTTTATAAACGTCAATTATTATTATTATAAATATTTTAAATAACTATTATTCTTATTATTCCTTATTATTAGTGTGTAAATAAGAGGCCGCCGGAATATACTTTATACTTTCCAACTGTGAAAGCAGCAGACCTGTGCGAATTTTCGGTAAGCTAGCTATCTCCTCCTTTTCCAGACCCTGAAATACACCCCCTCCGACCCCCTAACCAATCAATGATAATAATAATCATTTAGCGAAAGATTCGATTTTTATTCAATTTATTGCTCTGGACGTAAAATCTTTTCTGACTGAACTCACCATACGGCGATAAAGCTTGTGCATGAGTGAAGAATATAGCAACACAGGCTACAGCCAACACCGTTGTCTTCATTGCGTTAAACTGTGAAATTGATTGGTCGATAATTCACAAGGGAACTGGCTACTCTTCTGTTGACCTGAAACTCAGGCCCAGGGCTTTTGGAAACAGCCAACTCAATTGGCCCGTTAAGAGTGACTCTAAGCTGGTCTTGAAGGCTGCAATTGTCTTATGCTGTTAACGTTGCATAAACACGAAACAGTCCGGCTCACGTGAATCCCCTGAGTTCAGTCATTACATTGATAACACATTCTAGGGTACCTGAAATTATCAGTATTAAGTGCTGCGACCGCACTACAGGAGGATCTGGGCACAATGACAAGTTTCAAAGGGCAAAATTAATGGTCTAGTTTTATCGAAACGATGATGTAGGGAAATTGGGTTAACACTGCTCCGTCAGCTGATGCGGTAGTAAATTGGACCCATTGACCTTGATTTTGCTGAAAAATGAACATTGAACCTCATGCAACACAAACATTCAATAACAGAAACAGCTCTGCCTTCAGGATGGATCAATGAACGTTTAACTTGGGCAAGTAATCTGGCTTTATGTGAATTTTAAAAGAAGCAAAAAGACAAGTAATTAAGAATCAAACGTAAGCCTAACAATAAATATGAATAAGTAAAATAACAAAGGTGATGAAAAAACTACAATCGAAACAGTGTGTATAAATGTGACCCACCCTGCGCAAACGAGTCTTAATTTGCCAGAGCCACTTTTTGAGTTTACATTTGTATCGGAAAGAGTAAATTGAGGTTTTTTATTTTGATGTATCACTGTTTGGCATCCTGATAAAAGCGGATACTCCATGGTGAAAAATGCTGTGGGTTCCTATTGATTTACACTGTGCAAAAC